CCCCAAAACCCCAAAACCCCAAAACCCCAAAACCCCGTTTCTGTATCTTATAATTGAAAATGTTCTAGTAATTATAGCTCTGTATGAGGTCACCTGAGAAAGACGAGCTATCCGCCTCATGAGAAGAATCTTCTTCGTCTTTATGTTCGTTATCTTGATCTAAACTCTCATTATCAGACTCATGACCTAGAGATTAAGACATAAAGTACTTGAGCATAAGGATAAACTGACTGGGTCTGAATTGCCACTCATAAAATCATTGTTGTCAGATGAACTATCGTCCTCTATTTTGATTATTAATGACAAATTCTGAAATTAAAATACAATATAAAGAGAAAACTGGAGATACGCAATAGCAACCTTTTCTTTCTTCTCCATCATTATTAATAAAAGGATTATAACTGTCTGAAGAGTCATGACTTCTACTTAAGCTCTGGCTGGATTCGATACTTTCGACGCTCTCAGATTTTGTCGTTTTTATGAATCCAAACAAGCTTTCACTTTTCGTGCTATCTTCTGATTTACATTCTAGAATTTTCATTCAAATCATACCTTCGTTGGACTCCTCACAAATTGAATTTTCATGGATGTTTTTATTAATTTTAACTTCTTCTTCTTCAGCTTCAGGCTCTTGAACCATCTCTTGTCCCAAAGTATTGTGATAATAAGGAGAATGGAAGAGGTACAAGCTTGCAACCTTTTTGATAATCTGGGTCCTAGCTAATTGTTTCATCGCTTTATCAACTTGTTCTAAACTTTACAAGCATCTTCTCACCCATTTTAGGTTTTTCTTTGTAAGTTAATGAAGAAAAAAGGCTCCCTATGCTCTCAAGAATTCTGTCTAATAAGAGAATTCCTCCGTTGGCAACTACAGCATTCTCATTTACTTGTTCTCCAATCGGTGGGTTCATCTATCTCCCAATTTAGACCATGATTTTAAGTGCTTAGACGGTGAGCACCATTATTTACCTGATTTTGTTAATTAAGAAATATTATTTTTATAATTCATTTGCAACCAAAGTATCCAGAATTGGGGTTTTGGGGTTTTGGGGTTTTGGGGTTTTGGGGTTTTGGGGTTTTGGGG